ATGAAACCAAAAATGAAGACAGTACCGGAAGGTGATTGGTATTGTGCTCGCTGCGTTAAACGTTTAGGATTACAAAATGAAGACGATAAGAAAAAAGATAAAAAGAAACGTAAAAGTACATTTGTAGTTGATGAAGAGGCTTGTAGTGATATGTCATCAGATTTCTTAAATTCAAAAGAAAACGTGAAAACAAAGGAGAAGCAACTGAATGGGGATAAACGCACAAAAAAACGTTTGCCAACAATCGAAATCGAAGAAATAATTGAAGAGGAAGATGAGAATGAAATTGATGAAAAAGATGAAGATGAAGAAGTGGAGGATGTACAGGAATATGATCTAGATGATAGTATATCAACTGGAGAGGTTGATGAGTCGAGAAATAAAACTGTAGAGGACACTTCAAGTGAAGAGTAAGTATATACACTATTATAGAATTTTTACGATGTAATACAAATTTGAATTTATTTACAGGGATGACAATGTCTGCATAATTTGCTCATATGATGGCGGAGATTTGTTTTGCAATCAATGCAAAGATGTTTTCCATTTGGAATGTGCTAACTTGAAACGACCACCACGGTATAATTTTTTGTGTCCCAAATGTAAAAATAAGGAATCACGGAAACGAAAAGTTGTTAATGGTAAGAATGCAAAACAATGTATGTTAAGTATATTAAAATTAAATTCAATTATGAAAATTATAATAACTAACTTTATGCTGGGTACTGGGTACTGGGTTTACACAATTTAAATTTCACATTTCGATTTAGATTTTATTTTATATTGAAATTTTTTTTGTAAATTTAAATACAACTCTAGATAACAATTCAACTGATGAAGATAGCGAAGAAAGTGATGAAGAACCATTAATAAAACGATCACGTCAGTCACGTGGTTCACTACAAAATTCATTGCCAAATGGAAATAACAATCAGGAAAAAAGCAGTGGTCGTAGATCACATCGGCGAACAGGAGACAACTTGCCACTTAATAGTTCAGCGTTATATGAACTATTGGAAGGTATAATGAAACATGAGTTTGCTTGGCCATTTTTACGACCAGTTTCCCAATCTGAGGTTCCAGATTACTATAAAATTATTAAAAATCCTATGGATTTCGCTAAAGTAAAATCTAAGCTCAACATGGGAAAATACCAGATAAATGAAGAAGTTATGAATGATATACAACTAATTTTTAACAATTGCGATCAGTACAATGTAAAAGGAAACGAAATCTATCAGTAAGTGAAAAAAATTGTTTTCATCCATTGGATTTTTAATGTAAAAATTATATTCTTTGTAGAGCTGGCTTCGATTTGGAGAAATATGTCATCGAAAGATGTAGAGAATTGCATTTGCCATTCAAGTCAAGCGATATGAATGAATAAATTATAGAATAGTTATGTCGATAACATATGATGATTCACACCGCTTCAACTTAATATAGAATTTTATTTTGTAAATTTAGTTTAACATTACAATAAGTCTTGTCTTTAGTTATTACTCATACTTTATTTTTAAATCCTATAAATTCTTTATTATAAATTACCTGTTAATGCTTGCTAAATGTACGTAAACTTAGAACGAAATTGTTGTCCAGTTTGTAATTTGTGGATATAAAATGTATTTTGCTATTATGTTTAATATCAACATTTTTAATTCAACTTTATTTTAATGTAAACTCTTTTTACTCAGTTTTACATATAGTTTTAGGAACAAAATTGTTTCTTATACTTAGTGCATTCACATTAAGATTATTAAAATTTAAATATTCCAAATGAAATTAATTTATAATTGTATAAGTAAAAAAAGGAATAAAATGAAATTTCATCAATTTTGAAATCCATTCTTTTGTGTTTGCAAATGTGTTTGAAAAGATGTTAACATGGAATTACAATGACGTTGATATTATTTTAAGGATTTATGAGAAGTATGTAACGATTTAAGCGAAAAGGGCATCTCGTCAATTGTCTGTGCAATTTTAATAGATTACTTTAAAATTTTTTGCCAATCCTTCAACTGATTTGTAATTAATCAAGTATTAAATGCTTTTATAGTTTGATTTAAATATATGTTGTCTTTTAATGATGTGTTTAATTCACTACAGCTCAAGAATTCACTAGTTAAAAATTGAAAAATGTTTTGGCGATTTCCCCATTGACCTTTTTTCATTCGAAAGATTTTTCTTGTGAAAGGACGAAACTAATTTTTATTTAGAAATTGCGTTTTAACTATATTTATTTTCATTGTCTTGTTAGACTAAACCAGTTTGTGAATTTTGACCTAACATTATTCTGATAAATTCAGATATTTGCAATATCTAAAAAACTTTTAAAATTTGAATGCAAAATGTGTTTTCTAATCGTCGAATATACTGACACAAAGAACTAATAATGCAAAAACCTTATTTTTAAATCATTTATTTTGTTGATTAATATTTTTGTAGTTGATTAGTTCATTTAAACCACATATAAGAAGAACGCTTAAAAACTTAAATCTTAAAATGAACATTTTGCTACGAGATAGATATTTATAAATATGTAAATAGGGCTAAAAAATTGATAACATAATATGGATGTGGTATATATATATGTAGTTTAAATAATTAATACAAGATATATAATATGCAAAAAACGTATGAATACATATAAACTAAAACTTATTCACTATCAGACTCTTGAATATTGTTTTTACGGTAGCAGCGGGCTTTAATGCGGCTTTGTCGGTGCGGGCGTTTCATAGCAGTATGTTTTCTATTTTCACTATGTGAATAGCTAACATTATTGTTAGCTGAGTTTATGCTAGTAATATTTTGAATATCCGCAGTCGATTTACTAACTCCAGCGTTACTTGCTGCAAACCTCTGCTCGTTGTTTCGATTAAAAGAATTTCCTAATTTTAACTTTTTTGCGGGTATACGTTTTGTGTTATCTGTATATTACACTTTTAAAAAATATATATTAAAAGTGAGCAATAATTATACCTTTAGTGATAATGCCAGTACTTGTAGTTGGAGGTTCCTCAACGATTGTATCATTATTAAGCGGAAGAGAGTTGTTACATTGTTTATTAACGTTATCTGAAAGGTACATAAATCAATTATGAACTCGTAGATTTGTGAATGAATATGCATATATATTTATGCAAAGGAAATTACCATCAGATGTATTTTTTTTGTGTTTTTTGAGTCTTTTTAAAGTGGCACTGCCAAATGACGCATGTTTAATTGCCTTTTGACGAAGCGTTTCTCGCTTGGTGGCAATTAGATATGTTATACGATTTGATTTTTCGTTCTCAACTGACGAAAAACTGTAACCCGTATCTGTTGATGATGAATCTTCAGATGAAGATGAAGCAGTCCCCCATTGTTCAATTTCCTGTTGTACCAAATTATCAAAAAATGCCAACATTCGCGGATCTTCTCTAGTTGTATTATTATTAGGATTATTAACCAGTACACCCATATCTGGTATGTTTCCACAACGATAAATAGGACGAGGGTCATCTGAACAAGAAGCTCTTTTGAGCAATGAACCAGACCAATTACTTTGCTGAAATGGACTCCAAATCTAAATGTTTTATATACAATAATTGCATTCAACAACTCGATTATTAAAATTAAAACTATAAAACTATAAAACACCTTTATGGATTTATCAACTCCTGAGGAAGCTATAAGACATTTTTCACGGTTATATCGTACTTGATTAACAATAGATCGGTGACCATATAAAACCATTTGTGGGTTTTCAACCCATTGATTTACACCTTCCACTAAAACAAAATAATAATATTTGCACTACTCAAATGATCGCCTATTTACCATCAATATCGGTTAAACGCCATGCATATAAGTTGAAGTCGTCTGAACCGGACATAATTAGCTCATCATCTGTTCCTGCAAATGTACAGCTTTTCATTGTGCACGAATTATAATATGTTTTACTGTAAAAAGTGCAAACAGGTATTGGAGAATTTTTGTTATACAGTATTGGTGGGAGACGACGAGACAATGATAAAACTAGAGTGCCATTATAGTTAAACCGTACACTCATGCAACTCGTTGATTTCTCTTCTTTACCATATTGCAAAACAGCACTGAAATAAAAATAATTATTATTTATGCTATTGTTCATCATTTATTCTATTCATATGTTAGTACTTATTGGGTTTACGAAGATCCCATAGAGCAGAACCTTTTGTAGAATTTGCACTTATTAGAAAATTGCTATCAATAGGATGGTACTCCACCGCATGTATTGAGGCCGATAGAGATGCCAAAACAAATGGATCGTCATTTTGTCGTTGATCATATATTAGGACTTGACCATCTTCACAAGCACTTGCAAAAACGTGTTCACATTTTGGATCAACACAAAGTCCATATACTGGCTTTTCAAGTATAAAAACTTTATCCAACTTTGTGCTGTAGCAATAATGATATAAAAATAATGAATTCCTTATTTGTAAATTTAGAATAAATTACCTTTCCAGGTCGTGCACTAAAACAAGATTATCATTACTGCCAGATAAAATTTTACGATTTGGTTTATCAAATGCTAAACAAAATATATTACTATTATGCTCAGTAAGGTGACAACGGGGAGTACCCAATCCAGCCAGTGATTTCTCTATATCCCATATAAGGACACGTCTGTCATCGCCACCTGCAAGCAATATTTAGTGAATTCGTATTCAACATCTACAAGCACAAAAGTTTTTTGGTTTACCAGAAGCGAGAAATTTGCTATCACCATTGGAGAACTCCAGAGCATTTACACAACCGTAATGTGCCACCAAATCAGTTTTGTACAAATTTTTAGCAACGCTAAAACGGGAACGATACAAATTGGACATAAAGTCCTGCGGAATATTGCCATTTTCGATGTTGTTCTCACGTTTCAATAATTGATGTGAAATATTGTTACTACCAGAGGCCCAAGTTCTCATTATTGTCAACGTTTCGGATTAATTAACTAGGCGATTAAATTTCTTTAAATACAGACTTGCAGATATCAAGAAATAAATATCAAGTTTCACTTTTTTATACCTGTCATATATAAAGAAATGCATGTTAATGAAAAAATAACAACTAAATCTTTTAATTTTACTCACAGCTATCCTTTTTATATTTAAAACTTTGTTTTTTCAAAAAACTGCATCCTACGGTCGGAATAAGAAAATCGGAAACCGAACGTGACATTCAAATCCGTGTAACATAAATTTTTATCAACATTTTTTTTACAATATGAATTTCGCTTCTTATTTCGTTATGATAACAAATTTATTAAAAAATAATTATTTATTTATTATTTGAAATTTATGCCTTTTTTTTTTTAAATGTTTAAAACAATGAGAAAGTTTATCCCAAAGCAATGAGAAATGTCTTAGCCAAACCAACTTTACTTCACTAGTGGGTAGCTGCAGTCGAAATGCAGCTTAATTATCGCAAAGGCAACGAAATAAGTACCTAATTTTTATTGAATACAGGGTCTGTAATTGACATTTGAATTAGAATTGCAATTGGGAACAGAACTCATACTAAGTTAGTTGCGCTCGTTATACACAATTTGTAAAATAATTTTTTCAATCACTAAGTATTATTAGGTTATTAGTAATCATTATTAGTAATTATTATTAGTATTAAGTATTAGTAATTATTATTAGTATATTCGTAAAATTGAGTGATGAATTTACAGTGCTTTTGCAATATGATATTAAAAAACCATATTGTATAGAGGAGCAAAAGATTTATTTGAAAAATATAGATTTTAATATCTCAGGCAAATAATGGAGAATGTAATCAATCATTCTAAATCGTGAAAATCTTGAAAATCGTGAACATACCTTATCAATTTAATTACTCAAAAAAAATTTCCATACTTATAACCAAATATTTTTTCTGCGTTTAAATACGTTGCAATGGAATCTTAATATACAAAATTAACATTTAATTTTTAAATATTCATATACTGTTATTTATTTTAATTGTATACAAAGAAATATATTTTTTATTAACTTTTTGTTTCTTCAACGTCTACACTTGCTAGAATATGGCAAGAAAAGTAAAATGTACTATCCAGGTACATGTAACAAGTTGTAAAAAGACACAATTAATTTACAGTAATGTAAAAATTTGTAACGTAATTTGTGTGTACTTCACTACGCTATACCTATGTTTTTCAGCCCACTGTTTAAAGTCTTGAACACTTCTGAGCATGAGAAGGAATAAACGTATAATCCAATAAAAAGTTTTATAACTCTTAGAGATCTCAGTTTATAAATAAACACCTATGTACACTAAATCTAAATTTGCTTTCAACAGAATACATACTCAATTTCAATACATGTATGTATATATACAATCACAATTTTTAGAATATTTTAGCAATATTTTAGCAATAAAAATTACAAAATTAACTTTCATCAAAAATTTAGTTTATTTTTTGGTTTATACACAAGTTAAAAAAGTAAAAGCTGCACCCTGCATGCATAAATGGTAAATTCAACAAAAGGAAGACAGCTGATTTTTTGTTTACATCGTACCAAACAGCTGTGTCGACTTGTAGTAATTAAAAAAAACATAAGTGAGAGACAGCACACACTTAAAGCTACCTAACGTATACATACTATTAATTATTTAATACTACACAGCAAATAATACTTTTGTAAGAAAAGAAAATCTTTGCTCTCTCAGAATAACGTGAGAAATTGTTACCCAAAATTCATTTTTTATAACAATTTCGTCATACGTATTCAATGCATGTAATTTCACCAAGCTTATGTCAAATTCAGCTCTTTTAGGGCTACTTTGTTACACACATTTTACAAAAGGATTTTACTATTTTTCATATTAGTATATTATATATGTTTAGTAAAATTAATGAGGAAAATTGGACTGGTTAAAATAAATGTTATGTTTAAATGTTTATCTATAAATTTAGTCTGTATATAAATTTATATATTACAATTAAATATGTTTGATAGATTCGAGTACATTAAAAGCAGCGTATAAATTTATAAGTGTTAAAAATAAGCATTTGAGATAATAACCATATTTTATAATAAATTTTATATTAATGCATCTTTAGTTTTGTGTTATGTTTCTGTTTTAATTGCTAAATATACAAAGATAAAATTGACTTAAAATACAATTTGGTAAAGTAATTCAATTATTTAAAAAGTATGCACAGGGTATGATCAATCACAAAAAGAACTAATATTGAATAAGTAAATGTGTTTAATATGCTTTATATATGTTTACTGTTTTGTTAAATATTTTTTCAATTTCATTTAAAATAATTTTTGAATATATAAATGTAAAAAAAAAGTGCATAAATTGTAATTGAAAAGATTTCAAAAATTTTACTACTAATTTTCTTTAGCAGATCGAAATACGAAGTGTGGTGAAAGGAGTTTTATAATTGATCGCAATGAATTTGTAAAAAATGCTTTACGTCGAAATATGCAAAGACGAATTAAGTAAATTTGAAAAACACATGGAAATATTTTTTGACAAATTTGTAAATGAGTCTGAAAAAGCAGAAGTAACCATGAAAAAAGAAATAAGTGATATGAAGTGTGAAGCTGAAAATTTGCGACGTTTACTGAAGACTGAGGTGGAATTACCATGCGGTCCTGAGGTGCCTTTACTATTATGGCATTCTAAAATGGATGAAAGTTTGCGTAATTTGCGTGAGTGTTTGCGTCAAAGACGCGAGAAAATTTGCGAGTTATTGCTACAACAAGAAGCATTTTGTGAGGAGCTTCGAGTAGAACTGTATCCACTTTTGAAAGAAAGTTTCAGAATGTCTCTCTACTAAAGCTCTATATTCATAGACAAGTCACGAATACTGCATACTCTTAAAGATGAAATATCTTCTATTATGGCCATTTAGTCCTTTGTTTGTCTAAAATATTGTTTTAAAAGAACCTTGCATTGGTCCCAGTTCTTAGAAACATTTGTTTGCAAGTTGTTTTTGGGTGGTCCCAATATTTTCAAATCATAGATTACTTTAAATTTTATAGTGTTTTGTATAATCTTGCAAAATTTTGTCTATAATTTCAATAATGGATGAACCCATCAACGGATTCTATATACTTAAGATCTTCCTCCATTTTTTGTCTAATTGTTCTATGGCTGAGCATAATTTTTCTAGCGACTGTGTGATAAATGCTAAACAACGTCCTATTTATTTCACTTGGTTTTCCATTGTACTACATTATAATTACAATAATAAACTATTATGATAATATTATAATATGATGATATAATAATATAATAATTTCATTTCGTAACAATAACTATATAATTTCAGTTTATTAAACTATATTTTCATAATATAAGGAATTATACACTATATATCATCAACGTGTTGCACTTCATCCGTCAAGTGTTATGTCAATTATATTACATCTGGAATGCTGAATACTCTGCTCACGGTTTCCAAATTCAAAACGTCAGCGTATAGGGATCATCTGGACATTGCTTCATGCAAATAATATTGTTGCATTCAGTTGCTTTGATCTTAGTTTATTTTATGTTGAATTAATGAATTGTTGATTAAAAATGAATGTTATATGTTAGATGCATTTATTTTATTATAGTTTATTTGAACGTGAATAAATGCAAACCAATGCGTCGTAATTATTCTATCTTTTTTTGTTTTTTCATTAATACCGAATATTAAACTATATTTTAATAGTTTTGGATATTTTTTATATGTTTATGACAAAAATTATAAATTATTAAACAATTGTTTCGCATTTTAGTTAGACAATGTTGTTTTACTAATTATGCATTGTTTTGAAAATAACTTCTTGGTTGTTTGTTTTTTTTCTTGATTAATTAGTATTTCTTTATTTTACGCAATTATATTATATTGTTCACTAAATTTAAATATTTTTTGCAAATTTTATCACCGACATGAACAATCAACGTATTTTGAGGCACTGTCTCTATTATACCTTGACCATTTGATATGCAATCAATAAAATAAATTTTTACACAAAATATTTGTTTAACAAAAATGTTTGTTTAAAGTTAACACAATTATTATTTTAATTATTATCAAGTCTTTTATTTTAAAAAAATATTTTCAAAACGTGGTTCTTAGCAAAAAAAAATAACCGACTACCACTATCACTATTTTTTTCTTGTTTTTTACAATAAAATTTTTAAATTCTTTTAAATTTTAGAATTCTTTTAAGTTTTAGAATTTTAATTAAAATAAAACTTTTAAACTGTAGTTTAAATTACTTTTATTCGACACGTGTCAATATGAAAAACATGGTTATTTTTGACTGACCGAGCCAGGAATGTTGTTCATAAAATTAAACAACTTCTCTGTTTCTATAAATTTGCAGTAAACAAGTACCAACAATTTAAAGGGCGATGCCATTTAACCGTTTCTCCGAATTTATAGAAGCAGTTTACAATTCAGTACATATAGACGGGGGTTAACATATGTATATATATGTATATATGTATAGTACATATAAAAAGTTAAATCCTATTTACTTTGAAGTTTCAATATTACGTAGGCGAACAATAGAACGAGAAATGAAAAAAGATAGATGCAATAGAAGGATATTTACTTACAAAGAGACATCTAATAAAATAAGGACTAGAAGGACAATAAGAACAATAATAAGGAATTTATTGCAACTTACATATGTGGTATCACCTTAGGGTTTCACAATAAATTTTAAATTTCTATTATTTATTATCTCTACAACTTTACAACGATATTCTCTGTAGATTCAGTATTTGCATATATAAAAATGTCATTGAGTGTATATGTATATATTTTTGTTGATGATGTACTCGTAAACGTGCGACCGATCTATATTTTTAACGAAACTTCTATCTTTTAAAATAAAATAATTTATATTTATATAAATATATTTATATTTATATATATATTATATATATATATATATTTATATTTTTTTTTGTTATTGAGATTTTGTTATTAATTGTAAAAAATAAATATGAGTAATAATAAAATATAAAAAAGATCAGACCAATACGTGGGTGCGTGTTCAGGCAAGTGTTGACCGAATAGCAATAATCTAAATTAATTTAAATAGCGAAAAATGTGTTCCTATTAGATATACATATATATAATTAAACTTTTATATTTACTGCATGGTAAATGATTACACATATTAGTTACTCTTTCCCAAAAATTTAGAATCTTTTAAAATTATTTTATTGAATAAAATGACCCTTAACGTGAAAACTTCCATATTTATAATATCCAACTAACATATGAGAAATAATTCCAACTTTCGTTTACAAGCTTACAGCGTGCAAACTTGGCGATACCAGCGTTTACTATCTCTACAACGTGAATTGACGCACATTGGGCAGCGCATAAGGAATTTTGAATTAATGGGTTCTTTGCTCTTTAAATGATCCGCGACAATAGAGCTCAAAGCTTTTATAAATAGTGGGTGATCATTTGGAGCGGCAGCTCTACGCATTTCTTCTACTCCGACCTACAAAATAAACTTTAATAGCGAAATATAATTAAGTATTGTTTTTTATATCACCTCTTTAGCCAATTCATCGCAATATTCAATATCCAATTCATGCAGTGTTTCGATATGTTCATTTACGAAAGCAATGGGTACTAGTATAAAATTCTTAAGTCCTTGCCTAACATAACCCTAAGATCTTAAAATTATTCAACAAAATCATTATGGTTAATAGTTCATATATTTACTTTGATAGCATCATCAGTGGCAGGTGCTAGCCAAGGTAGTGGGCCAACTTTCGACTGCCAGGCTAAACTGTACGGATTGGTTTTACCAAGTTCTTGCATAACCAAGTGCACAGTAGCTCCAATTTCCGATGGGTAAGAGTCACCACGATTAACAGCTTTAAGCGGTAGAGAGTGAGCCGTGAATAATATTACCACATTATCACGTTTGGTTTCAACGAATTTGCTTAGCTCCTCACGTATTCTATCTGCAAATGTTTTAATGAGCAAAGGATGTGTAGCCCAGCGGTCAATAACACTCCATTTAATATTTTTTGGGAATGTACTATTAAAACGGAAAGCAAAATAATTTGATTTTTATATTTGAAAATGAACGATTGTTGCTCACTTCTCGCGATAATGGTGAAATATTGAATTGAAACTAGAGCCAGATGTTGCACAACTGTATTGCGGATACTGTGAAAATAAAACCACGCGTTCTGGTCCATCTCTGTAAATATATTATTGATTATATATTTTAATTATATATAATGTATTTTATAATATATACCTTTCAATTTCTTGTAAAGTGTTTTCAGTTAAAGGATTTACATAACGAAAACCCACATAGTGCTTATGTGGAGCTGTCTCAGGTGACATTTTATCCAATTCCTTGCACATAAGTCCTCCTTGTAATTTAGTCCATTTTAATATTGGTGATCCACCGCCTATTTGAGTATATTTTTTCTGAACATCCGGTGTACGACGTTGTGCAATCCAGGGACCCAGTTTACTTTGCACTGGTAGCTGAATCATATCACGGTCTGTCATTATGCGTAGTAAATAATCATGTACTTGATCGATAGATTGAGGTCCGCCCATATTTAGCATAAGCACTGCTGTTTTTGGCTTTTCCACCGCACTGGAAAAATTCAGGCATCCTACTCGAGTAGCTTTTTAAACAAAAAATTTTAAAAATAATACATAGCAGACAATATTTGAGATAGCTTACCGTTTGTGCAAAATCGCTTTAATGAAAACATGATTTCTTATATAGTAGAAATGGAATACTATTTGTGCAAAACCAATTTTAGTGAAAGGAAAATGTAAATATAGAAGAATATAAAAACAAGTGCCGGTTGAACAGTGATGCCACTTGTTTAACATTTAAAAATATCAACATTATTGCTTACTTAAACCTCTGTCATTCATTTTAATAATATATTATTATTTTTTGATAGTTCTAGTTTATTAAATACAAAAATTTATTTATTTCTATAAATTGAAGTAGCTAATAAAAAATACATAGAAAATTTTTATGCGAACGTATGACATTTGCTTGCACATTGACACCGAGCTAGAAAAATTATATCGTGCGATGAACTTTCCTTCTCGCATGCTATAAAATGGTGTTTGAAGCTTCCTGAGATGTTTAAAAAGATGCGAAAGGGACGTCGGAATGTAAATATATATTTTATAATATAACTGAAATGAGTCAAAATAACAATATTCAATTGCCTGTGAATGGGATCTAACGCAAACTAGACACTAAAATAAAATTTCGTATATAGACTTTTTGGAATTTGACTTTAAATATTTGGCAGTATGTTTATGGGCTAGGCTGATGGCATATAAACAACAATGTATATTTCTATTTGTGGGTGAATGTGTTTTCAACCTATCAGTATAATGCAAATTTAATGAATTTAATGGATTTTAAAGATTTTCACCGATTCTATTCATTTGGTTATAGTTTCTTTCTTGAGAGAAAGCGAGTCCCATCTAACCCCACTGCTGTTCTTTGGGGCACAGCGCACGGTTGTTAAATGCAACTTTACATCGAATAAATAGGCATTCTGCCAGCGTAAATTTGGGTTTTAACCACAGCAACCACGCTACTTCCATTAAAGTGGCCAACCTCAATTAGTCAGGAGAGTCAAGGGCGTATGCCCTTACACCTGTGGTACCAGATTTATAGCTCCGGTTTATTGTCGTAAGTGAAACTCACTCCCTAACATTTATAGTTCGATAAGCAAATTTTCTTCAAAAATAGAGCAGTGGCGTGGTCTCCTTAATAGTATGATTAATCGCCACTAGAGCATTTTAGGAAAATCATTGGTTTAAGTAGTAAAGTCAACTACGAATCCATTTGGAAGCAACTATGAAATGCACCAATTTGATGATACAACGTTAAGTATCTGGACAAGTTGAAAAAAATTGTATCTTCAGGTTTAGTTTCTAAACCAATTCTTTGAAGGCCAACAGACCGAAATAAATTTTTGGTGTTTATCCATAAATTGTGTTAGTTTTCTTTTAATATAAATTTCTGCATTATCTACAAGCACCATATATAACGTGTATATTATATACAGTGTTGTATGTATGCTACTATATGTTATATACACATTATTACTATTCCAAACACAGTTGTTTGTATAAGATCTATATATAGCCGTCATAGATTTTGTCTGTGAATGGGAGTGTTGAATTGGTTTGTTGAGTAACTAAAATGTATCTATGTTAATATATTATATACTTTATAAAATATATAAGATCATTTAAATCAAATTAAAGACATTTTCCTTAGTGGATTGTCAATAAGTCCGAGTATCTTAAGTACATTTAAGCTTGCTTGTTCATTTTATAAATATTGCCACGATGAAAGAGTATCTTTTTATATTGAATAGCAGCAAATCAATTGAAATTAATTGAACATTCGCTACAATAAATATTGTCTTTAAGACGAAAATTGTCACCAAGTATTTTTTTTCTATACATAGTCGTATATTAGTAATAATTGATTCTAATTGAGTTCGATAAGCAGAGTTGGACGATTTTGATTTGTTAAAATTTTGAAAAAATGCAAAGTCGCTCAAATGCCATGTATAAAGAAAATAATTGTTAATTAAATATTTATATTTTTAAAATTTCTAAACAAAACATTGTCTCCAAATATCAGAAAATTATTTTATATTGAAAATTCGATTAATCTGTGATTCAACTGTGCAAGCCGAAGCAATTGATATTAAATTTTCGCTTAAGAGATTCGCTTAAGATCAATTCTTTTAACTTATTAATAAGTTAATAAAGATATATTATTTTAATAAAATGTAATAAATTTGTGTTCCATTAATTGTTATAAAAATATTAACAATTCAAAACATAAGAGGTGATAGTCGTTGTATTCGCATAAAATCTTTGTAAAATGAATATTGTCTCCAAGTCTAAGACAATAGTCCTTATACTTCCAAATACAATTGTTTGTTTAAGATCTATTAATAGCCGTCATACATTTTGTCTGTTAATGGGACTGTTGAATTGGTTTAAGATTCTATCATTTAGTTAATTATATATTATTAATTATTATGACAACTTGGTGCACTATTCTTTGTCTCATATATCACATATCATATATTAAATGTAGAATAGATAGTTACCAATATATTTTAGAGATAAGAAGATCTGTTAAGCTGTTTGAAAGTAGTTTAATATATATCATTAATTGTCTAAAATTTGAATTCTAACTAAAATACCTATTATAAAGAAAGCATGATGAGGTTCTTTATTTTTCTAAAAAAATAAAAACCACTTCTTTGTAAGAACATTGCGAAAAGATTAAAAAGGAATGAACAGTTCTAGAAGAATTTAAGTAAAGAATTCTAGTAAATACTTGAAACATTTATAAGTAAGTATTCAACAATCAGGAAAACAGTTCTACCGAATATTAACTATGATTCTGATAAATCTTTCAGTAACTCCTTATACTCCATTAGTATTGAACTGTGTTTTAAGGAAACCACATATGTCTTCGC